AAAAAAAATCTGCCGACATATTGGGTTTTTAAATCACAAAATAATGGTATTGGTACTGGTTTTAAAAATCAGTTTGTCTCTAGTCTTAATAAACATGTGTACCAAGCTGACATAGACTAAAACTAAACTGTATTTTTATTTTATTGGTGGTCATATTTCTAAGTACACCATATCCTTTCAGTTTTTCTTTCTTTTTTAGAGTCTAGTTTTTATTTGAGTATTATATGAGAATTATAACCCTTCTACAGATTTTACAATAAACAGCAGATTCTAAGTTATGACAGATATCCATTGTTTATACACAAGTTTCCCACCCCCTTACTTCCTGTAAAAACAGCCCAAGGCTCAGTGATATTACATAAATATAAAAAATACACCTGTAAAACTAAAAAGCTTCCACAGAAAAACGTTCACTTATTTTTAAGGCAGAGCAAAATGCATTAGTCTACTTGATGCCTCCCATCATGTGGATCCAGAAGTTGGCCTGCACAGTCCAGCCCAGCTTCTCACACTCAGAGATTTGTTGGAGAAAGTGCTCCCTGGCATCTGCCTCATTCTGCTCCTCCTGGAGTGCCACCCGCAAGTAGCGCATATCCTCTGCAGCGCTCAGCTCTGGGATGCCCGTGAGCAGCATGAGGGAGAAAAGAGTCACCAACAGACGAGAGTGGGAGCGCAGGGAGAGGTATGCTTCTGTGCAGGTGTCCTAATGTGGGTGTTGGAGGCAAGAAAAGATAGAATAACAAAGAAAAGCAAAGATAAAACAATAAGGACAGCTGAAGTTTAGATTTTTTCTATAATTCTAAAAGTGTTATCCAAAATTAGAATCAGGCTTCTTTTAATTAGTGTGTGTGTGTACTTCTGGAATAAACTCAATTGGCATAAATCAAAAGTCTTAATAATGGCAGGTCAGCAAGGAGAAAAGCCTCTGCTTTTAAATCAGAACACTGCAGCCTGCCTGCAGTTTCATAAAGACTGCATGGACAAGCCAGAAGTCAGAATTATATTTTTGGACTGAGATGAGATCAAAACAGAGCTTCTTGGGTTCAATGAAAAGCATTTTGTTAAGAGAGAAGAACACACATATTTTGTTGGAGTTGGGCCACGACTGCATGCTTTCATCATTGAACAAAATTGAATGAAGTTTGAATTATACTAGGAAATTA